GGACGATTTGTATAATAACTATTGACCATATCATATATTGTATTGAATGTCATAATTACAACTGACAAATATAGTCCTTCAAGGATATGTCTGCATTGATTTTATGCCTGTTAGGGGTTGTTATATATTCGGAAAGGCACATGTGTCCAATGTCCACTCTCATTCAACATATCATAGAGATAATACACAGCGATGCCATAAATCATTACTTCGCACCAATGGTGAAGTTTCGATCGTTGGGCCGGGTAAGGGTAAGAGATAAAACTATCTTTATTTTGATAATTTTGATTAGACCGGATATGGATGACAGTCAAAATGTCAAAGTGCTTAAAATATCAATAATATCGCTGGTATACGTACTGTTTTAGTATTTTGTTATTTAGCTTATGGTTGGAACCTTCAAATTTCGTTAAGATAATTATATATTTTGTGACAATCGTCGTTAGAAGTTATTTAAGTAGTGCGTCATCGATTAATTTGGATTAAATGTAAAATCAAGAGAAACAACTTTGATGGCACTAAGCAATGTATATGTATGTGGTCTCGAAGGGTGAAACAAATCTTCAGGCCGATCTCTAGGGGAAATAAGCATTGCTGGAAACACTCTCTTTACAGAATACCGCTTATATTAGAACTTTAAAAACATTGTTGTAAAATCCAACGAAAAAGTTAAGCATCTTTCAGTACAGAGCTGTATATCATTTATACAGGTCTGAGATGAAATTAAATTTTATCGACATCATGTTTGATTGTATGCCACCAAGATCCTACATTTGAAACATACTGGTTAAAAGCTCGTCAAATTGCTTGCTAACGCTGTCTAGAAGTTAAATGCAATTGTGAGGTTAAAGTATAGCCGAATATTATCTGCTGGCGAAAACAGGCACAAAATATGCAACAATAAAACGATAAAGGGTTCACTATCTGTGTGTCAAGTCTGAATAATTGTTACCTATATTCTACAATAAGGTCGTCTTACCTTACTGTTGCATGATTTTAAAAGAAATGTATTACATAACAAATGTCTGTTGTCGCATCATACAATGAAACGTTATGATTATTTTTATAAAAAATTTGCTAGTGAATTTTAATGACAATAAAACCGTTTGAATTTGTCACTGGTAAGGTTACTTTCAAAAGATCTGATACTGAAATACATTTGTTTCATTATAGGGTCAGTCCACCTCTAGATCTAAAAAAGTGACATTTACATTAAGTGATTTATGTTCTAAGGTGTCGCTTAGCCTTTAACACTTCCGGTCCTTATCATCACCGACGACTCCTTAAAAGACATTGATTGTTTTTGTATTCCATAAGGTCTTTAAAAAATCATGGAAAAATCAATCAGGATTGCTGCCTTAGGTTTGTAGATAAGATCCAAATTACATTTCCCTATGTGACGTACGGCACATAACTAAAGTCAAGTTACCGCAGAGTGACGCAAATGACGGATAATAAACAACAGGATGAGATCAACATTCTAGCAACTATTTCACATCACGTCATATGAACAGCATGTTCAGTTAGCATACGTCTTATCTGCAAGGTAAGGAAGTGTGTCTTGAATGTGGCGTTATGCGAACAGCTATTCAAAATAATTTGTTTTGTTTCTTCTAACTAGAATCGTCCGCTGAAGATTTGTTGAGAGTGATTCTGTGTGAGAGTTTTCCAGGACAATCATTCATCACGTATTTGTTCAACATATAACATATACAATCTAGGTAAACCACATTCAAATGCAAATGCATATTTAATTAGCGAGCAGGCTGGAAACATAAAACATTCTATTCCATTTGAATTACGTAGCTTAAAATTCATAATGTGCAAAGATCAGATGTCAAGTTCATGAATTTCTGATAACAATTAGAGTTCTACATGTAGGAAATGGGGCAGTATGATATGACAGATGAAGTATGCCCTTGTCATGTTCAAGGCTATCAAGACGTTCACCTGCTTATTGGTATAAGACTCGCCCATACAGTGATATAGGTCTCTGTCAGCAATCAGGGTCATATAACTTCGCAATTTATGTCAGTGAAGTGAGACCGAGAATGAAGTTGATTATAGAACTAAAATTTGCGACAGTTTTTAACGGTCTGGTCTTCAATTACACCAATGTAAAAAGAATCATACAAGAAAATTCGATAGATAGATGCGAGTAAATAATTGATATGCATCATACATCTGTTTCGTTCTTACAGGACTGATAAGGACTGATAAGCTCATATCTATATAGTGACTATGAAAAGTTCAATTTTGTCGGAAAAAAATGTCAAATTATAGATGAAGAGCTGCATTAGTCCCATTAATCTATAAGTATTTAAGAGAATGTCATGTGCATGTGTATAATAGGAACCGTGCTATTATATATTCAAATAATAATAATGACTTGTCTTGAAAATTTTTAATCGCCATTTTCCGAGAAGTAATGCATTGATCTATGTCAAATTTCATTGGTAGTTTAACCATGGCCCCTAGTTGTATCCGTTTGATTTTGAATCTAATAAGAAAAACAAAATGGCTGGCACCCGGCCATCTAGGATTTCGCATAGTAAAGTTTGTTATTGTCATTTCTTGAGAAGTACTCAATGGATTTTGACTGTGACATTTTGTTCTCGCTGTTAAAGTCTCTCTCAGCTTTCACGCGTCATTTTCCCTTGACCCCTAGATGTCCGGCCATTTTGGATTGCGCTTAGTAAAGTTTGCTATCCCTACTTAACAAGTAATGAATAGATCTTTCTCAAATTTCATATGTTTGTTCCCTTTGGTCTCTAGTTGTGCCCGTTTTGGGACTGATACACAAAAGGCTTCCAGTCGTATTTGGTAATTAAATATTATCGTAGCTATTTCTTCAAAGGAATGTTCAAATTTCTTATCATTAAGAGCAAAAACAGACAAGAGAAAAGAAAGCAGAAGATCCAATTTTCAAAGAGCAAATAAAAATTAAATGTTGGAGGGTTCCAAGATCCCAAGTGATATAGACCACCTCCAAATGGCTATTAAATTGGAACATATCTATGTCGTTGTTATAGGTTCATTATTCACTCAAAAGGAATGATAACATTGTCTTTACAATTTTAATCAAAAGTAAGACTTGTGCCTGTTTCTTGTAATAATTGAGCGTAACGACTAGGTCATGCCCAAACAAATGAATTATCTTTTTGCAGTGAGAGTAATCATTTCCACTTGTTTCATTTTAAAAGTATTTCATTTTAAGTTGCATCAAAAGTTGATACAACACAGGATTTCATGATTCATTAATCAAGATGACAAAATATTATTGCATATTTCATCCTCAAAATGCCACGTTATAATGTGCCGCGTCCACAGACATAGTTTTATCCCCCAGTAATGGAAATGGGTGTCTTTTCTTTGTCTCTATTCTACACCAACTATTATAACAATGTGCGACATACCAGCAAGCAAACAGAAACACTTGCACAGATTCTAAAACTGCACGAATGACATCATAGTTACAGGGAAAGACACCGAGGCAAGGATGTCCATGCTCATTATCAGTTATGCAATTTTCATACATATGACATACCATCGACTGTTCGCTGGATTTTTATTACCTTCATTCAAGACTGACAAGACAGTAACAAGTTTTAAAGTAAATCTTGAAACTTTATTGCCTTCGCCAACGTAGTTCAAACTTTGATAATCCCTATCTGCCGCATTCTCCATTATCAAATTGGAAGTAAAGAACTATACATTAAAACGACCTAATAAAATAATTGCAACGCTTGCATTTGCTATTATATTCGGTGTTTTATTTTCTACTCTTACCACCTCATATGATGGAAAATGGAAGGATAGGTTAACAGTCATCTGGTAATGAATATCCATATATAACACCAGCACTAGTAGTTGGACTTGTTTGATTTTTAGAACATTAAAGTGTAAAAAAATCTTTACATTCCCAAAACATTCCAGCTCCGTTGCACCAATGGAACTTAAAAAAAAACTTAAAATGTATTTTTCAAGATGACGGTCAAATTGGTTTCCCAATTCTTTCAATAAAATACTAAAAGCTGGTTTCAGCGCAATCCTAGAGGGAAAACAGCAGAATTTTAAAATGTGTTTTTCAAGATGGTGGACATGACGTCGGTTTTTATTTCGGATTGACTTGTCAGGAACACCTTTCAATCATTTTCTGCTAACTTGTGAAACTCGAGAAGAAGCTTAGAATATTTGCACATTCATGCCATAAAATAGAAGTCGTTTTTACCGTATCAAACATTTGAAGAGAGCGAAACGTGATAACTCTTTGACTGCTTTCATAACCTAACATCCTTTCAAAATTTTAGCCCGATGATACCAGTGGATCTTGAGAAGAAGCGTTTATACAATGCTTTTCAAGATTGTGGCAATGGCGGCAACATTTGTTTCCAACTAACCCGAAAAATAACAAAACGTGCTTTGGGCAATCTCGGGATCAATCAATGTAAGGTTCGGCGGGGTTCCAGCGTCATACCTTATTTTTGCGGGTAAAAAAAATCAGATTTTCATGTAAAAAGTGTCAACTTTCAACTGATTCGAATTTCGCAATCTGTATATAAGAAGACATCCTTTTCACAAACATTACTGCCGTCCGCTCTGGCTAATGATAAAACGACAGACTTGATCACAGTTTGTTTCGTGGATAATATTTACCCGTGACAGTGATCTAATTTTGCGACCACATCAATGTCCGCCAAAATACTGTCTATATGGTCACTTGAAAAATTAAAAATAGGTGAGGATCAAGGAACCAGTGTAACAAAAAAGCTGCCATATGGGTCTTTCGGCGCGGCTGAACAAAATAAAAATACGGATTCTTTCTCTAAACATTTCAACCAATTTCAGCTCTATGCCAACAGTGAAACTGTAAAGTGTCTGAAATGTATTTCCCAACAAATCCGAAAACAACAACACTCAATCAGGATAATCTGAGATGAATCCTACCATTGGAACTTCAGCATAAGTTTCAAATACGTGTTGTAAAACCGTGTTACAATATGGCAGCTATGACTGCAACTTTCAGCTCAATAGCACCAGTGGAACTTGGGAAGCGTAAAAAGTATTTTTCGAGATTTCCATATTGGAATTCGGACCGACCAGACAAAGTAACAACACTTAGTTAGGATCATCTCAGGATAATTCAGGCATGTTTCAAAGTAGTTAAAAATAATAAAAAAAAGTTTACGCAATGCGGGCGGCTCATGACGACTAATGAAATAAGATGGGTATAGGTCACCCTGATATTTCGGGTTAGATTAACTTATACATGTAAATGTTTCAAATTTTGATGAATGGAAAAATAACGCTTCTGTTTGCATATACCTGATTATGAGTAATTATGGCGATGATATTTTTGATCACAAAGACATGGTGTGTTACTGATGATTCATATGTTTCAATTTACCGACATATAAGACGCAGTCTGACAGAAATGAGACAATGTTACGTTTTTTTTTTTTCATTTCTCTTTTATTTAATCGTGACATGCATTATTCATTAATCAGAAATGTAACGGTTCGTAGGCTATATATTTAAATGTATGAATTATTCTGTGTCGTTGTAGCTAGTCAGGAGGAGACATCAATGGAAGTGGTAGAAGAGATAGCTATAGTAGGTATTGGCTGCCGATTCCCTGGAGCCAATAACATCAAAGAATTTTGGAACGTTTTGGTGAACGGGGAAAATCATGTGAACGAGATACCAGGGGACAGATGGAACCTAGACGCTATCTACGACCCAGATCCTGACGCGTATGGAAAAACCTACGTTCGTCGAGCTGGCCTTTTGTCAAAGTAAGTGAGTTTGTAAGCAGTGCCGATGATTCAAAATTAAACAGATAAATGACAGCATTCACAGACTTCACTGACTTCGTCTGATTTTCCAGCCTTTTGTTCAAAAGAGCGTCTGAAACTTAGGAGTCATTTTATGAAATAACGTATTCTGAATCGCAACAGAAGGAAATAGTGGCATTTTAATAATCAGGATAAGAAGTTATAAGACTGATAATGATATCCCAAATGACCTTAAATTTACTCCAAAATAAAGATTTAAAATTACGTTTAAAACAATTGAGGTGGCAGTAACTGCTAATTTATAGTTCGCAGTAAGTACAATACACTTTAATACAACGATGATCGGAAAACATGTATACAGAGATGGAAAAAACCCATTAAAACGTCATTTATTTGAAACCAATGTTTTTGGAAGAATATACATATGTGTGTGAAGTTCATAATATATCAACTTAATATTATTATCCAGTCAACTGTCATATTCGTCAACAATTTTATGGTGTCAGATATAGACGACTTAATTGTTTCAATGGATTTATCAATATGTGTCGGGTGCCTGTACAGCATTATTGCCCTAGGGCATTATGACTTTTAAACAGTATTTTATTTCTTTTAAATATATGGAGGTTTTGAAATGATGTCTTCACTAATAAAGGAGATATTTCACAATAAAGTCTGATATTTTAGTATCCTTTACTGTATCACAGCACGAGTTAAAGATACATAAAAAACCACGAGTGAAATAGATTGGTCATTCTGGAGACACTATTAAATAGTCTATGTATAACATTTTCATAAGCAAAATAGCCAAATGACTGGCATATTTAGAACAGAGATAAAAAGAGGAAGCTGACTAGGCTTTTCGCGGACACTACTCACTCATCATAACTTCACAGTACGCGACAAAATATAGACCATTTTTAAACATTATTATATGTTGATACAAAGATAAATTTCAATGTAAATTAATTTTTATATTTACATAGAAAATGTTACTTACTTTAGAACAAAATTTGCTGTAAAACGTCCTGCGAGTTTAACGCGGCTGAAAATATGGCGGCAACCTGCAGCTGTCGCTGTTCATGACACAAATCCTCTTTTTAATTTTCAATGTTAGATCACATTCACGAAGGTTAGCTGGGGAGTTTGATCATGTATTTTATGTTGCTTTGTTTGATGACTTTCGTGGAATTGAATGTCGTGTTACTACCGGGCTTTATAATTTGTCAATTTCATAAGATGATTTATGCTCTTTCTTTTCATTGGTGCATGTCTGCAAAAGTATTTATCTATATTTCACTGGCAAAAAATAATAAAATAAAAATCATCTGCAAGCTGTTTTGATTAACTCAACATAAAACAATTATTAAAAACTATAGCATATTTGTTTATTTGTTTCTTACAAAACGTTACATTGTTCGTGCATATGCCTTTTGTGCAAAAAAGATATTGCATTTGTTTTGGTTCATGTTATGCTTCAAATCACATGATCAAGTTGACCTGGGGTTTACTTCCCGGAACTTTTCTACAAATCAGTAGCCTGTATTTTATATAATGCATTTCCATAGAAACGATTCTGGAAATATTTGATATGTCAAATTACATTGATAAGTTGATCAGTCAGATAAGTAACCAAACTGATTTCAGGACCTAACTATAAGTCGGAAAGACAAGCTGAATCCAGACTATCCACTGATTTCGTTATGAAAATTCTCTACTTCTTACTTATTGATAATTTTCTGACCTCTTTTTAATTTTTTGTTTTATATAATTATAATACATCGGACATGCGATCATTACAAAGTTTACAATATACATAATGCAATAATGTAATGAAATGTTTTGATGATGGAATTTTGTCTTTTGCAATTTTACCTGAATGGCAAGGAAGGTCAATTTAGAGCGCCCTCTGAAATCTATTATAAAGAAAGTAGAATTCCTCTCAAAGCATGAATATTGACAACGATAATAAACACGATTACAAATTGAATGTAAGTGCTTTTCTGTACACCTACAACTGATGACTATTTCAAAATGAGCACAAATGTAAGGCCGTATTTCTAATATTGTCCCCATCTCAAAACCTTTTAGTTACTGTCCAAAGTACGTGTGCCAAATTTACTTCACATTTTGGCCCTTTTTGACAGCAGTATCTACTCCACAAATACACATCATCATAAAACATTTCGTTTTCGTTCTGAATTGTCGATTGTTTTCGTTATGCGTTTTGAATACTATTTCGTTTTCCGTTTGTGCTTTCCTCCATTGCAATCTGTGTACTGTAAGCGGCATATCGGAATCAATATGCATGCAGAAGAAAACATATTAAAATCAAACCAGATGCTGGCCTGACTTATTGACCGTATTCGTGAGAGAAAATGTATAAAGGCAAACGAAAAATTTAGATCGAATTATTGTTATGCACAAATCTTCAATTGTTGAATGCTGGAGGCTAATGATTACAATAAATAATGAATGTTTCTTCGGCATGTGACAGGATTAGTTCCCTGTATATGACCAAAAGGGGTAATTTGATGGGTTTACACTACCAACTCTCCGTTCTTGTTTGCTTTATATTTGCGTTGCTTTTTGCAGACATGACATGTGGGACAACGTATTTTTCGGCATAGCTGAGAAGGAGGCCTCAGAAATGGATCCACAACAAAGATACGTACTAGAGTGTGTGCACATGGCTCTTGAGGATGGCGGGATAACAAGAAGCGAGTTGGATGGTTCCCCGACAAGTGTATATATTGGCGCTATGAATAGCGATTCTAAAACATCCAAGGATGGAGACTATTCATTGATGACCAACTACTCTGTGACTGGAGACGCGGCAAGCATCATCACGGCTCGTGTATCGTATAATTACAACCTGTTGGGACCTTCTCTTACTATCGACACCGCCTGTTCCTCGTCACTTGTAGCTGTCAACCTGGCAACACAGTCCTTGCAAATAGGTAGGCAGTATTTATCTATTAACACCGAGTAAATTTCTTTTTAATGTCTGTTTAGAAAACATTCAATATAACAAGAAGGATTATATACTGATGATAAATAACTTTAAATAAGGCCAGCACACATAAATGTAATACACTATAATTTGTTCAAAAATAAGTATAAACTACCACATGAATATCTATTCAGGGCATAGATCCACTTAGTTCAAGCGTACTATGAGATATTCTTTCTCTGTCTAGTTTCAATACTTTAGGACTTCATAATTGCTAGTAGGGGTTGATGGGTTTTCGTGTCTTCGTTTCTTTTTGTGACCCTGATATTTTTCTGTCTTTCCGTATATCTTTTTTAATATGAATTATTTACACTCCATCTCTCCCCTAAGTGGAAGGATTCCGTTATACATATATATACTAAAAACAAAGAAAGATAACACTACTTTATGCTGTGATTAATTAATTAACCCCTTCATAAATCCTTACCAATCATGTACGAATAAAGTAATTGATCAATTCTGATAAAACTGCAGTCATGGTTCATTATAAAACTTTGCGTTCAGTTGATTTTATTCGACTGTAAAGGACGTTGGGGTCAATTTCAAAGGTAACACCATTAGTAACGGTAATGGCCACCGTTTGCGAAGTAAACAGCATTGCAGCGTCGTCGCATGGAACTCGTAAACCGGCGGATAATTCAAGGAGAGATGTTGTTCCATTCAGCGATCAAGGCTTGGGCCAGCTCCTGCAAGTTTGACATTCTCTCACGCGTCGCCCAAGAACGTCCCAGACATGCTCAATAGGTGACAAATCAGGTAATTTAGATGGCCAATCTAACACCTGTACGTTATTCTGCTGCAAGAAAGTTCTGCTGACGCGACTGGTGTGCGCTGGTGCGTTATCCTGTTGAAAAATGGTGCCAACGCCATGGCGTCTTAAGAATGGCAGAACCCGATATCGAATGCCGGTTAAATTGCCATTTAACACAACAAGCTTGGTACGAGTCCCCCCACAAATACCACCCCAAACCATTACACTTCCGTCGCCAAAGCGGTCCCGTTCTGCGACGCAGCAGTTCGCAAAACGCTCCCCTCGTCGCCTCCACCCTCTGCGCCTTCCGTCACCGTGTTGCAGACAAAACCTGGACTCATCTGAAAACAGAACATTGTTCAATTGTCGTAAGGCCCAACGACGGTGAACACGGGTCCAGTTACGCCAATTATTACGGTGACGTCGCAACAAATTGGGTCCAGTGTAGGGACGCCACGCTTTCAATTGGTATGCCCTCAACCTGTTGCGGACTGTCCTTGTAGTCTCTACTGCGGTTACGAATCGATTGCGCAAGTGTATCAATCGTATACGACGGTCATCCCTGGCGGTCGTTTTACGGGGTCGGCCGCTTCGGGGACGATCGGATGTTGACCCAGTTTGGTTTAAACGACTTACCAACTGGTAAATTGTCTTAACACTGCAACCAAAATGCCGCGCTACTCGACGGCGAGACTCCCCAGCCTGGATCATGCCTACAGCCCTTTCTCTCTGTACTTGTGACAGCCGGGGCATAATGATAAAGTTGATAGATAGCAAGATTCGGTGATTTCTAAGTCCTAAGGATCTAAGGAATAGTTGTCTGTTTGAATGTTTATGAAATTCAAGCGAAGATACAAGTTAGTCGCAGAAAACCTCGTGCAGCTCTTTCGCTAATACAGACTTTCACGCTTGAATGATTTTGGTAACCCCCTTGGATTTTGTAATGTAAAACATTACCATTTTCTAATATTGCACAAACGTCATTTTGTTTTCACTCATTTACAGGTATTCACCAAGGAAACATGTTAACCTTTCTTTTTTTGTTGAGTATATATACAGTGAATAAATCGCGCCTTGCATTAATTGTTCTTCTTAGGGTATAGTTTCACACTGAACGTCTAATTTTGTCTCAGCAGTAAATCAATTCATATATCATATCTTATATTACTCTTTTTCCCGATAATTTTGTAGCTAAATATATATCCATGTAAATCTTAAAGTGTTGTGTTTGTAACACGGGAAACATCGGTAGTACAGATCTGGACCTGTCACATATATATACTCAACAAGAAAAGAAACGTACGAAGTTCGCCCTGCAGTACATCTTAATTGTCAGGAAATAATGGATTATTTGTTCAGGTACTAAAAAATGATGTCCCTTCTCGACAATCTACCCTAAAATTAGCCAAGCGTGACGATGTCATTGTCTGACTTTGTGAGCTTCTTTTGTCAAAGTCACGCAGCGTGATCAAGCAAAGCCGGAATTTTTCAAACGAATAATGTCAACGGATACTCTAGGTTCAGCCACATTAATTTCCCACAATAGAATTTTGATTTCGCAATTGACCGAGATTCCATGCTTAACGCAAATTCAAAGAGGAAGATCAATTGCGATGGCGATGGCTGTTGCACGACAGTTTTGCGTTGCCCCGTGTACAATTAGCCCTTAATTGAATTTAATAAATATTTGCTGTGTCATTCTTTGTCTAAATTGAAAAAATACTTATATCTGAATTCTATAATTTGAAAAGCAAAGAAGCAAATACTTTAATCATTCTATATTCATTTGTGTATATGTATCATTAACTGAAATCCTGATGATGACACCATTTCGAAAAAGGAGTCCGAGCTGTGGTACTCAAACATCATCCCAAGCAATTTAGCCTCAACACTAAAAATAGGAAGGCCGCGAGCAAATAAAGTGTATATATATTTGTCCCACAGTTTTTATACGATTGCTTTTTTTCTAGTGAAACCTCCGTGAAATTGATTTTTTCATGAAATAGATTTGAAATAAAACATTCCTAAACCTTCTAAGGTTTACATGGCCGATGTCGTCGAAGAAGAGCAAAAGACGCCTACGCTTCCGAAACACCCTTGTACTTTTTCAGTGCAAATTTTTTTTCTTCATATTTTGTCTAGTTTTAATCAATATAAATTTGAATTTTGATTATATTGAGATATTGGTACAGTTGTGGGATCGCACGATGTGGAATGTGTGCATGATGTCTACACGATGTGCACAGGATGTCTGAACGATGTGCGCACGAAAGGAAAATTGGACGAAATAAGCTATCGCACATTTGTGCGGATGTTGTGCGATTCTCTCTCACAAATGCGCGATTTTATCGTGGTTGATATAGATTTAGAAATGACTTATAGATAAGTGTTATAGTGTTTATTTATTATCTAAATCTAAAAGAGTACAATTAAGTATATTTCCTAATTAAAATATAGGCTAGACACTTGTAGACTTATTAGATACACAGAAAGGAAATTTTATTTTTAGTACACCTGGATAACTCAATTTTTCATTAATCTGATGAACAAAAAAATATATGCTATGTTACACGGGGCGACACAGCCGGTACGGATCCGGACCTTTCACATATATACCCGCATACAGGTTACTTTTTGTTGCCCGAGGCACCACTCCTCGCCACATTCTGAGGTATAAAACCATACGCGATAAGAATTATTAATGCAGGTTCGGTGTTATTTCGAAAACTGTCGACTTATAATGACATTGATAATCACCGATCAATTGTAATGTTCCTGTGATCGTTGATTAGTAATAACTTAACGAATTTTTTAATTTTCTACCCGTAATATTAGCCAAGCATTTTTACTTAACCCCACAAAATGTGCGATCCTTTCGCACAATTGTCTGCACGATACTGTATTGCACGATGTATGCACGATGTATGCACGACGTTTTTGGTGCATTGTGCGGTACCACAGCTGTATTTGTTTGTTTTATTTAATGAAATATATTCATCCCCAATCCTGGAATATGACATTTTATTTTTCATATACATTGTTACAACTTCCAACAAATTAAAGTTCATGTTGTAATATGTCAAATTAAAAAAAAAAAAAAAAACGTTTTAGATATTTGCCGTCTCGAATAGAATATTTTAAATTAATCTCCATCTCAACGCATCTCTCCAAAACTAAGATATCACTACGATATGATTTACCTATATTAACATTAGTTACACAAATTCAGTCAACTGGTATCTACTGAGCTGCAAACCGAACACTTCATTTCTTTTGAAAGGAGAAAATCATAATTTTAATCAATTGCATCAATGACATATTCTCTCTTGTTAGGCGAGTCATCCATGGCGATATGTGGTGGTGTTAACAGTATTCTGTATCCAGACATGTTCGTCACTTTGACGAAGGCCCGGATGGCGTCACCTACTGGCCAGTGTCAAGCTTTCTCTGCTAACGCCGATGGATACGCTCGTGGAGAGGGATGCGGTATCGTCATATTAGAAAGGCTAAGTGATGTACGCTGTCTATACGCATTATATTAATGTTAATAGATAATAAATTGAATAAATGTTTAAACGTCGTAATAAATGCGACATCAATAAACTTTCAAGGTTGAATGATCGCAAGATTAGGCTAATTTGGTATACAATCTTTATGTAAGAGTTTATGACCAACTTTTGGAATTTCTTTATGTCAAGGGGACAGAGGGTACATTCTACTTCGGAATAGTATCACAGTGAATGTAGTAGGACGCGATTTTGGACAATTAAAAGATGTGATGAAATTAACGCCTCATTCTAACAGTTTCCGACTGGTATATGCGTATACTTGTAGGAACAGGTGTGAATTCAATTACATATACCACTGAAATAACCCTTAATGTAACTTTATGCAAGAAGACGCTGCCCCGATTACGTCAAGGCATGTTATTTTTCAGCAACTTTAAAAAGTTGCTCATAGGTGTTAACAAGAAATAATAATGATAATAATAATAATAATCGTCTTTATTTATTCTTGATTACATATTGAGTGTATAGCTCATCTTCCATATGGTCAAGACATATTGAAATGTACAATATTTACAACCAATAAATATATCAATTAGCTATTAATAATTGGTACATACCAGTTAGAATTAATTGAAGGCATGTTAAATTTCAGCAACTTTCGATAGTTGCTAACTGGTGTTAACAGGAAATATAACAAGTAGCTATTAATTATTGGTACGTACCAATTAAAGTTAATTGAAGATGTTGATACAGGCACTGAAGAATGGAAGACATATTTGGGCAACAATCCGAACAGGCTGTAACCAAGATGGGCAGACTGCAAAGCCAATCACCGCTCCGTCTCAAATCCAACAGAACAGACTCCTCCATGACATATATATCGATTCTTACAACATCAACCCAAGTCATGTCCAATATATAGAGGCGCACGGTAAGTACATATATTTGACATACACATCTATTTCTTGCGTTAGTAAATTGAAACATCGTATGCATATGAAATTAAAGAATAGATTTCAAAACAATGGTGAAGTTCTCTCTGAAGTATGATAAATATGAGATATTGATTTTTCCACTTTCTACATTTTGTTTATCTTGTTTAATGTTCTACAAACGGCTATTGCCATTTAAGGACGGCTAGTGGAGTGCATGTTTTAGTTGGATCTGCAACATGTTCATGTAATCCTTCTTGTGATCGTATAAGACATTAATCGATTTTATCAACACTAAACTCTAGGTGAAAAGTAAGACTTTTTCTCGTTTCAAAGTTTTTTTGACAAACGAATATCCATTAAATGCTATTGCAAAGGCCAAAATTGCATTTAAAAAGATTTGAATACATTTTTGATAAATAAATAATGTTCAGTAATGAAAAGATGTCCATTTATCACATGTTATAATTGGTGATCAAATCAAATCAAAATTTTAAGCAGCAATCAGTATTACAGTCCATTTCTATTCCTATATGTAAATGTGAGTAAATTCGGGTTTTTTTAACAATGATGTGAATGAGCATCAAATAGTATAACATGGATATAACAGTACGTTGAAGACAAATCGGGAATACATGATAGCACGAGAAAGTTTCATATCTCAAAATCTGGTATAGAAACTCATGCAAATTGCATGTTGGCTGTTGGAGATAAATGTAACATAACCGGAATAGGAGATTAACGAAAGGTAATGACAGAAATATATATAAGGAATGCATGAGTAGAATAGCCGTAGCCTGGACCACTTGGTTATTAAGAATTTGTTACTTGAAGGTTTTAAGATATTTGATCCCTGTGACCTTAAAAGTGTGTCAAGATCATTCATATATATCAACTTACTATTCCTTCATCCGACCAGGCTACAGGCCCAGCACCGGACTATATGGTTATTGAGAAGTCGTTTCAAGATTTGAACACACTTCTATCATGTGACATTGAAAGTTGGTAAGGGTAATTCATTTGAACGTACATGCTAAAAGTTTAACCTAAGCACCCTGGACTTTTTTGGTTATGGAGAAGAGCTAGTTTGAATGACATGATTACGCACCACGGATGACGCACGACATGGAACAATGAATGAGTGTTTTATTTTATTTCTACAAAACTATGTGACAATTATTGGAAGATAGAAGCCATCTTTTCACCATATTGTTGTTCGTGGTAGGCGTGTTGACCTTTTAGTGTCACTAGAGTTCAAATGGTGTGGTTGCAGGTATGTCGTATTCCGAACGGATAATAATGAAAGGAAAACTGATCTGCTCTCCTTTCAAAATTAAACCGACATAACATTATTTGTGTTCCTTATTATACAATGTTCGGAAGGTAGTGTTTTCTCAGGGAGATATCTCAAAAGCTTCCAGAACAGTACCATATATTTTTTTCTGAAATTCCAATATGACAGCTTTTAACCAATTATGTCTATAAATACATAAAATGTAATGAGTAAGAATTTTTTCAGGTACTGGTACACCCATAGGTGACCCTATTGAAGTCGGCAGCCTCGGGAGCTTTTTCAAAGAGTATCCTCTACAGCATGATGACGTGACGAAACAGCGTTTTATTGGATCGGTCAAAACCAACATTGGACATCTTGAATCTGGAGCTGGGGCTGCAAGCCTTATCAAGACTCTTTTGATGATGAAGCATAGACAAATTGTACCATCTCTTCATTCACTTCCTCGAAATCCAAAGATAGACTTTGAGGACTACCAATTACATGTTCCAACATCTGTCTATCCATGGCCTGCACTAGAGGATGGTTCAAGAGCTGCATGCATCAACTGTTTCGGATTTGGTGGAACGAACAGCCACGCTTTTGTACGACAATGGGTCGAAAAACCAGCATTGCTCGACCGAAGAATAGATGATGATAAATTGATGTGTGTTCCCGTGTCAGCTAAATCACCGAAGAGTCTCATCAACACAATGAAACATATGGTTTCAATACTGGCAGAAGAACCATGTGATCTGAAACAATTGGCATTCACTGCTTCGTGCAAACGAGATCACCATCGGTACAGAAAAATGTTTATTGAGTCAAATATTACAGACCTCATTAAAAGTTGCAATAATGTCATTGATATTATGTCAAACAGCGCAATTACATCTAGCAAGAAATATAGGAAAGTATATGTGTTCTGTGGCGTTGGAACAGCATGGACAAACATGGGAATGGAGCTTGCAAATGAGTTCCCTGTATTCACCAACTCCCTCCGACAAATTGATACATACCTGAAGACACTGACTGGGTGGTCTATTGAAGACAAACTAAGAGATGGAGCAGAAATGGATGACCCCTTCATTAGTCACATTGGTATATTTGCATGTCAAGTTGGGTTGTCAGACCTCTGGAAACATTGGGGAATCTCTCCCGACGCGATTGTTGGTCAGTCCGTTGGTGAGGTGGCCGCTGCCTACTGTAGTGGTGTACTATCTTTGAGTGATGCAGTTAAAGTAATTTACCATAGATCTAAATTACTAGCAATGGAATCAGGAGGAAGAATGATGGTAGTAAGAAATACCAAAACTACAACAATAGAGGAGATTTGTGATAAGATTGGTCATGTCAATATTGCAGTTCATAGCAGTCCAGTAGCATGTACAATATCTGGTGGTGATAAGCAAGTGGACGCAGTCAAATCCCTCATAATAGAGAATGCTAAAACGGTGAATGAAATACCATTCTTCCATGATTTAAAAGTAGATTGTGCATACCATAGTTATAAGGTGGAAAATGCAGCTCGGTGCCTTAAAGAATGTTTGGAAGGAATTAAAATTAATCAACCAAATGTACCAGTATTTTCCACCGTGAAAGGGAGTACTACAGACGATTTCGGCACGGCAGATTATTGGAGTCAAAATGTCGCTAAAACCGTAATGTTTCATCAGGCACTTCAAAAATCAATAAATGATACGTCGACTATATTCATTGAAATTGGTCCAAAACCTGTTTTGAAGGCACATTTAAATGACATATTCAAAGACGATGATGTTACAACAGTTCCCTCTATGAAACTAAACAGTGGTTCATCACAAGTAAAATCTTCACTTTGCGATTTGTACGCATTTGGAATCGATCCACACTGGGAAAACCTTGTGGAAAAAAACAATCTTGCAACTTTGCCTCAATACCAATTTGACGGAAAGCACTTGATGGTGGAGTCCGATTACCGATTCCTCAGAAAACAGGGATTAATTGACGATTCCTCAGGTCAAAACCTCATGTTGACACGAAAGGGAGATGACGGGGAATTTAAGGTGAAATTCAGTCCCAAGGCAACACCATTTGTGTACGAACACGTCATCGACGACGCCATCATTATTCCAGGTGCCGTTTACACTGAGGTGGCGTTTGAACTGGGAATGAGCGTGATGGGTATAGCAGCGGAAGAAATGCATGTAGAGTACGACATTATCAGCGCGATCCCTTTATCTAAAGGAAAACCGTCTTCTCTTGATATGACAACTGAGGTAACTGAAGAAAATGATGGATCGACGAGTATTATGTTTTCAATTACTAAAGATGAAAAAGCCGTTGCGAAAGGGTGCGTTACCAACAGAAACCATACAACAAAGCATTCCCTTCCTATTGAAGATGTATGTATTCGTAATGGGAAACGTATTGAACGTAAAGATATCTACAGCAAGTTGGCAAAGCATGGCTACAAATATGGCCCATCTGTACAGGTTCTAGAGTCTATTATATTTGAAAACAATGAATGTACTGGATTTATACACCTCACCGACGAAGTCTCAAATCAATTAAATCAAACCTCATTTCATCCTGCTATTCTTGACGCTATGCTACATTCAAGTGCACTCGATTTCCTTTCAAATCAAAAAGATCAATCCTACAAAATATACCCCATCCGGGTCGGTAGCGTTTCTGTGCTAAGACCTTTCGACAAACGAATGGTGTGTTATACAAAGACAATACAAAAAGTTTATGATCGAATCATCACAAATATTATTCTTACTAGACTAGATGGGATGGTATTGGCCGAGGTAAAGGAAATCGAACACCGGGTGTTGGGCGGTGATGTAGGGGTTAATAATCTGGCATATGAGATCATTTGGACAGGGGACGACGTTTCTATGATTCACTGCGATACACAGCATGATCTCAATAGAAAAGTAACAATTTGTTGTAACGACGAAAGTGTTATAAGCACATTGAGAAACGTTTATCCAGAAGGGGATTCATTTTGTCTGCGTGATGCTGCAACGGACCCTATGTCCGTGATATGCTCAGAAGAGACCAATGATGTCGACCTGCTTATATTTGTTCCAGATTCCAGCCATGTCATGAACAAAAATGATAAAGATGTTTTTGATATTGTTTCTAAAAACTGTGAAGCCTTTCTAAATATCATGAAGGTAGGAAAGGAAATGAAGAAGACGATAATAGTTGTTACTGAAAACACCCAAGCATTTGAATATGAAACAGATTCCAACAGAAACGTCTTAGGTGCTGAATTATGGGGATTTAGCAGATCTTTGCGAAAGGAGAATACCAAATGTCAAATGATTGTTATCGATGTCCAACCTTCAGTTACCTCAGAGGTGAAGACATTGTATAAAACGATTCAAGCGCATACATCAGGCAATATTACCTTGCATAATGAATGCATCATAAATGATGGCCATTTACATAGTAACTTCCTACGACGACGGCCTCAAAGTGGACTGCAGATCGAGCACAGAACATTATCTACAGACACACACCTTGACCTCCAGTTAAGGTCAACTTCATCAGATAAGATAGAGAGTCCTTATCTAATATCTGTAGATCGATCCTTTGAAGTAGGGAAAAATGAAGTTTGTGTTGAAGTCGATCAGATGTGTATTCACTTTCCAACTGAATTTTGCGTAACAGAGCTGGATTCAAGTCTCGACAAGTCACTTTGGTCCGACTACAAAGACGGATATCCTGTTATAGGATTAGAGTTTCAAGGGATAATACGGGATTCAAAAATGTTCAAGAAAACACCGAGGCGCGTAGTGGTATGTTACCCAACACGAATTACCAATAGGATAACTGTACCAGAACTTTGCGTTTGTCACTTAGACAGTTTGCCGAATTACATACCTGGTCTGATCATTAAGTGCTTGCTGATGTGGTCTATCACTGCGAAGGTCAAACGCAATTCTAACGTTTGTATTGTGACAAACTCAAACACGTCCGATGATCCAGCAGTCATCATTCTCCAGGACATGTTAAAAACGGTTAAAAATTGTCGAGTTCAAATTACGGCGATAGGCGCTTTAGAGGATGTCATTGAAAGTGGGTGTAATGTATTTGTTGTGCTAGAAAAGTTTTCCAAAGCAGAATTATCCTGTATTCTACAGCCAGGAAACATTATCCTGGGATTTGACGATGCCATGCTGTGTTTGTCAAATCAAGTTATTCAATTCAAATCAAAAAGGATTCATGTCCATATCATTACAAAGGTTAACGTATTCGAGGAAAACAACATTATCAGGAAATTCCCAAAGGTAAAACATTGGCTGACACGGCGCTTAAAACGACTTGACCTTTCGGAAAATGCCCGCAACTCGATGCAACTTCAGACCATCAGATTATCCGACACATGTAATGATGGAAAAAAAGGAAATATAGAAACAAAAGCAATGGGAGACAAACTCTTTCACAAAAATGCAGCATATGTGGTGGTAGGTGGGATGACGGGACTTGGTTGGGAGATAGTAAAATGGCTGGGTATGACAGGCGCAGGCGTGGTAATACCAGTATCAAGAAAAGGTAAGAATCCTGATATGAGTCAACAGCTCCAGAATGCAATGGACCTACACAAATTTAAAATTGTTCCAATGAAATGCAATATTGTCAGTTATGCTGATGTTGAGAGAACATTTTCATGCATTAAGATGCAATTTCCTAATCATCCTATTAAGGGAATATTCCAGGGTGCAGGGGTTCTGAGAGACACGCGTATTGATACCATGACAATGGACAAATTTAATGATGTGCTTCAACCAAAGGTTACGGGCACATGGAACCTTCACCTTGTATCAAAAGAGTTGCCTTTGGATTTTTTTGTGATGCATTCATCGGTCACATCTGTCTTCGGAAATGCCGGTCAGACTAATTACGGTGCTGCGAACTCATTCATGGATTCACTGGCTTGGTACAGAAGAGCAAATCACTTGCCTGGACAGAGCATAAACTGGGGTGCATTGGCTGTAGGTATGGCAAATGACGAAATTATAAGAAATAACCTAGAAGCACAAGGGTATTATGTTCTTGAAACAGACAAGATCAAAGAATGCCTCCTTGATGCCCTTATTAGAAACCATTGCCAAATTATATATGGCGCATTTGACTGGAGCATTGTAGGACAAAATCCCGCCATGATGCGTACTCAAGCATTAGACAAAGAAGAGGCTGCTGTAGTAGGCAAGTCGAATCACAGCCGCTTTGACAACATTGTTCTGGACATTGCCGAATTCATGGAGGCACCTTTTGAAGACCAGAGGCGGACACTAGCTGACTTGCTGTTTAATAGTATCTCTAGGGTGTTATCGATAGATGAAAGTGAATTGGAAGAAAACCAAAACCTTCTCGGTCTTGGGATGGAGTCCCAAAAGGCTGTAGAATTGATTCAGATAATTAAAGAAGCCACCGGTTGTCGACTGCCAGTTGCATATGTCCTTTCTACTGAATATACCATAGGAATGCTAAACGACTTCATACATTCACATATCGTTGATAACTTCGTCAAGGAAGCAAATGGTGAATTAGAAATGAAAGAGAACGTATATGGATCACCTTCATGGATGCAAAAGTTCTATATTGACATGCACAACAACTGTGTCTATGATTCAAGTCTTTGGTTCAGCGTTGACTTCAAATTAGGTTCTGGTCTATCAAATGTCGATGTGTGGCGCACTGTCTTGCGATGGATCACAATAAAAAACGCGGAACTTAGAACTCTGTATCATCATACCAACAAGCAAATTAGATTTGGTATGGAAAAGGTTGTTGTGGATCCGGAGGATTCTAAGATAGATCTACGTGTTGTCGACTCTAGTATGTTATCGCGGGAATGGACAGAACAGGATATTAAACAATATTGTACTTTTGATATAACAGCAGATCCCCCTTTACGGGTTCTGTATGGAAACACTGGCAAAAAACATCACATCAGATTTATATTGTGCCACGTCACTTTTGACTTGCAAAGTTTCTTCATATTACTTCCACAGTTTCGATCTTATTTCCTTACATATTTCTTAAAGAGGGATATATGTATTACACCGCCAGATAGCCCGGATATAGCTGAATTGATGGAAGAACGTCTTGACCTCGATAGGCTTTCCCTAGAAGAGTTCTGGAGAGGAGAACTTAAAAAGATTCAGGATATTCCAACTCTTGATACGTCCGATCTGGAATTGAAGAATGACTTGACACTAATATCGAAAAAGACGGATAATGTGTCGTTGTTGTTTCCAAAACAATTAGTGGATAAAATGATTAACAACGATCACGGTATTACGCCCTCCATTTTACTCTTCTCTTTGTATCAGATCATTCTCCATAAGATGACAGGCAGCGCTGTTATTCCAGTTGTACTGACAGTGGATATGCGCCGATACTTTCCAGAATTTATTGACAGAATATTTCTTGGCACCAACTATGTGCCAGTCATCACAGAATTCCCTGATGTGTATGCTACTCTTAGAGATCTCATTTCAAAGTGTTCCAACCAGATGACGATGAGTAGTGCAAACAGCATATACCCATACTTGCTTATCAAGCAAACCGATGTCTCTGGTGCTAACTGTTTCCGTCATTTCTTTAATGTTAGAGATATAACTTTTCGAGATAGAAATCCAGTGTTGACTGATTACTCCATGGAACATGCAGGGCACAGCACAGGCTTCCTCAACCAGATCGAAACCGCTTTGAATGTTTTTGCAGATCGTCAGAATGGAACAATAGAATTGACATTAAGTTATGACCCGGCAATAGTGAGTTCGTCGACAGCGAAGCGTATGGTCGATGATCTTTTGTTATTGGCCTGCGTGAGTGTGACAAATTCCGAGTTCCAGCTGGATGAACTTCCATTAGAGTCCTGTGTGTCTAACGCTTCAGACAAAATTGACTGCTTTTTGTCAACAGGTAGATATAACCAGTAATTTAAAATCTAAAAGTAATTATTTCATTAACTTGGTGTAAGAGTGTGTCAAGTCCAGTATCAACAGAGGGCAGGCTCTTCCAATGGCTCTGCGCCCATGGTTCTTACGTCGGTAGATTGTTCGGCATTTCTTGTTATCACTGGTTCTTGGTGGATATTTCTTGTTATATGTAGGTTACAACTGAAATCGAACAGTGCCCTTTTTAATTTTCAGACTAATACCCAAAACGAAAACAAAATAACAAAAGAACAAAAATCAAATTTGCTCAAGGTGGCCTCTTGGATCGACTCTGAATGCATGTTGGTAAAAAAAAAAAAAAAAATTAGGAACATTACATGGCCTTCCTCAAATTTCACATGAAAGTTCTCGTCGATCTCTGGTTGTGCCCTTTTAATTTTGTTGGAACTGATCTGAAGAAAATAACATATTTAATGTACATGGTCAAATATATTTTAACATTTTATCAATTTGGTTTTGCCGACTTAATAGCTTATCGCCAGTCACAGCTTAGATTCGCCCATACTGCCTTGACTTTTCTTGCTATGATACACAATTGAAAAATAATAATATTCTACCCAATTTTTTTACAGTAAAGTTTTTGAAAGAAACTTCAAACGGTTGGGAGCATCCGGTAATGTTGAAAGTGGACATGGATAAAGAAGTGCCGCAAATAACATGGAGAAATCCAGATACTAAGGAAATATCATTGCGAAGCATAATCCCGGTATCATCTGTCCTAGATGTAGAAACAGGGAAGCTGTATGGTAAGCACAAATACTTAAAATCAATTCTGTAAAAATGATCGGTTTCAGACCCCTTGGGATTAGAGAGGCGGGTTGGAAGGAAGACCAATTTATCATAAATTCGAAGATCTTGGACAAATGGGGCCCGACTGGCGAGTTCCAAGAGTAGGCAGAATTTGTTTTCCTTGTTTGACCAGAAACATTCTCGAGGAAAAGGGTCAGGGCCTTGCAGAGCCTGAAGGCGGTGTGCAAATGGGCAAAAACTCTGAGACTCTTTTTCTCTTTTAGAGTTTTTATAAACTGTATTTTACAACACTTGCAGAACCAGCTTATATTAATCACCCTTGTTGGCTAGGATGGAAGCGCGCGAGGGTCTTACTGTGGGTAAACCGGAATACCCGGGGGAAAACCCACGTGGTCAGGCTGGTGGTCTGATACCGTTTCACATCCCTTCCTAGAATCGAATCCCGGACGGCTGGTAAATGGCGAGTGGGTGTCCACTGCACCGCCCGACCAACCACTTCTCTTGAAATGAGAGACATTTGTCGTAATTTGGCTCTAAGAAACCATCGGAAAATTGGGTATCATAACAGCATGTGTCCAACGGGCAAGGAGCCAATACAATATATATATATCAATTTCTTTAAAAGCCTTCTTCTGTAAGACTGAAAAAGATATCACCCTAATTTTTAATCATCCTTTGTAATGGGACGAAATCAAGTAGGTGATAATGAGGAAAAACAATTTCATATTCAAGCGGTTCAGGTCCCTCAGGGCTTAGAGGAGCGGAACAATACTTGACAAAACTACGTTTCCTCTGTAAGGACGAAGGGATTTTGACCAAACTTAGGCTTGGGATTAACTGGGTTGAGGGAATTCTCTGATAAATCACGAGTCTATTCCCTGGGAGAAGAAGGGTGGGATCGAATAGGTGAAATAATGGTTAATATTTAAACTCTTCCCGTGTTTGGATCAAGGCATTGCGACCAAACCACACTTGGTGAGAGACACAAGCTCTATAGATCGTGTTCTTTGTTGCCCTTGAAACAAGAGCAGATATACGAAAGTCACTTTTCGCAATATTGTCAAGTTATAACTTTAAAAGGAAGGCCTATAACCCGCATGGTGTGTTTGATGTTAGCGAATATTTCTCCAATGCCATGGAAACAATGCTGTACAAGATATTGTATTTAGTATTCAGTATATTGATGCGATCCTAACTTTTAGCGATAACTGCGCTCTCGACACAATATATTTTGTTGTGCTTCTAGCACGAACTTATCAATATAAAACCAGTCCTGTTCCCAATGTTTGGTGTTAATGGAATAATCCATCTGTTGTTTTTCTACAATGTATATATATGTGCTGTAAAAGTCGCAACCAATTACTAATGCTTATGACCAGTGCACTGAGAGAGTGGAGTATTTGCTAACTTGTGATTAACTAGACAGGCTGAAGCGTTCACGAAACACTTAATACCGAAGTACTATTTTGTGTTAAAATTACCTTCCTTATATAAAGTTATAAAAAACGTGGATGTGATGTGACCAGTTTCCCACTTTCATTTGATTACGTCGAAATATCTGTATATAAGTAATACAAAAACGTTTTTGCATTGATTCAAAGAGGAATTAGGTTTGAACAGAGTATACTTTTCAAAATGTATGGCGATATGGATTTAAATTTTTGGCTATGTCTAGGTACCGGAGGAGTAATTTAATTCTCGTGGGAATAGTTACACAGTTCTGCCTCTGAATTTTCTAACTTACTGCTTTTCCTTATTACTTAATGTAAACAAGGAACTCGAACTGAAATTTTGAGATAATCAAATTGTAATTATACAACTCCAAAATATATTTCGCCACGGGTTCTCCACTTTTGTCGAGATAATTTCTCCATTGAGAACTGCTTCCAGTTTTTGGACCACAAAAAGTAAAGGTAACTCTTGGGAATTGGGATATTTATGGCAAGTCTCTAATTTTAATTCCAATACAGAAGTCTTAAAAAGAGCGATCCTAGGGTGCCCGAGAGCTGTGCTCTTATAATCTGATGTCCAGATTTAAGGATGTGCTCCTCCGACGTTTCACGGGACGTAGGACAAAATTCATGATAAGATGAACACAAAGATGAATTCTTGGTACTTATAAACATAAAAAGGGCGATTTGTATTACGTTTTGAAAATAAAATCGCTTGCGGAGTTATTTCTCGACAGTCTAGTAGACGGCGTGGTTCGGTTTAACAGCGTCAACAGTCTCAACATGTTCTAGTTGCTAAGGTAATTCTCTTGAGTATAAGTAAAGTAATCGCGGGTAGATTTCGACTAGATTTTGCCTCAGTTATCACCACAAATCACAGGATTCAAATTCGTGAATTCTGACACTGTGTTCCATTTTTCTGGATCTTTTAACTGTTTGAAAATTAGGATAAAGGTAATTTTGTGCTCAAGTACTCAAACATTTCTTAAAGTTTATGATACCCTTGGTGCCTATATGAATACATTAATTCTATGTTTATTCAGAGATTAGTAACCAATACCAGACGTCACTGCTGAGTAAATTTGATTTTTCATTCTCTCAGTCTTCAATTATTGCTAAAAATAAATGAAGATAGGTCTGCATGCAATGTTGTGGATTCAGCACATGATTGTGTGTATTTGAACAGTTCAAGACAAGGGGTCATTTGGACTTCTTATTGTCTCAAATCAAATTTTCTCTAATCTATGGAATATTTTTAATGGTCGTGTTTCCTTTTGAATTTATTTTTCAATTACTATGTATTTTAGAGTAAAATGTCTGCTGCTCCATCTCGGTGTTATAAATCATCATTCAATAATTTATTGATCACTTGATTGAGAATATATAAAATTGTTAATTATAGTATGGAGAAGATTTTCATAGGCTTTGCCTGTTGTAAAATTTCATTTACTATCAAAATCTTGAAAAAACCACTCTCAATACTCGAAAATAATGTTATTTGATTTAATACGTAGTTGATGTATATATAATTTGTGAGAAATTGCAGGCTTATTTTCAGGGTTGGGTTACTTTTTAGATCGGGTTGTTTTTGGTGTTTAGAGTATTCTGAAATGTAATGAATCACAGTATTTACTTTTTACAGGTTTTTACCAGACTGAACGTTTTAATACGTCTTTATCTCAGTCTTATTTTCAGGTCGCGATTACAGTAAAAGCATTATCATTCATAATGTTTTTTTTAACTTTTCAGATTCGTGGGGTTTAATTATTCAGACACAGAAGAGACAATATTGTTTCAAGGCGGACGACTACATCATGGTTCAAGCCTGGAGAGCGAGAATCCGGAATTTTTTATCACGGAACATGCAGAAGTCTCAAATAGAACAATCGCTTTTAAAAGAGCGAGACATATCGTCTAGAGTATCTGTGATATAAACAGCAAATGAAAAATAACATGCATTTGCTTTCACTGGGAGAAAAGAACTGACATGAAGAACAGAAATCGGTTAAGCTAATGGATAATGTTCCTGGAAAAATCATTGCACTAAGATTTGTATATACAATACTTCTACCCAACAAACATGCTTGCAATAGACCGTTATCTACACAATATATATAATATCTATACACTTAATTTTCAGAGAGTCATCTAGTTTTTCATGCTTCATCTAATCAGGATCGTATGTCAGAGGTGACTTCCACCAGGCATTTAGTGCTTTGGCGTTTGAGATTTGAGATCGCTACTCCCCAAAAATGTGAGAGGGGCTTAATTATGTGACTTAGTTCTGTATTTCATATTTCCCGCATGATCTGATGTTAAGCTCGTGATAAAACCTAGGTTAGCATGGCATGATATAAACATTGTCGGATATTAATTGCAAAATCGTTTGGGCTTTAACAATTCACATTAGTAACTAACACGTCAAAACTGACTTGAAACTCGGTATGACAATTAAGCATTTTCGTTGCGCTAGATCTGAGTGAAAATTACACTTTAAACTACTAACAGTTTGTATCGGAAAATGTCTGTGAACGTCAAATATTGATGGAATCATTGTGTTGGATAATCAGCGTACAATAATTATGATGTGGATTCTAGTTGTACTAATAACTTAAAATAGAGCTACCTATGGCCACGGGGATTTAGCATATTTCAGGTTTTATATGACTTTAAGAGCATAATGAAGGAGTGTAAATGCCATTCAGAAATGTTAAGGATTGATGTCCAGAAACTGAACCTGATGTGGCATTCAAGATTGTCATCTGTAGTCATTCCAAAAATATATCAATTGAAGTCTGCTTCCACTATTACTTTAAATGGACAGTTTTCGTTAGAAAGTAATTAAGACTTTCAAATTGCATTGTTTTACTGGTTTTGAAAGTAAATTTATTCAAATCACGATATCCAAATTGTGTCTATGCGATTTTATACATGAAATTTCGAACTCTCACTTATGCAACAATTGACTAAATACCAAAATTAGATTAAATATTGCAGTGTATTAAATCGTTGGCAACAATAAAACTCAAACATCTTCTTTATATTTAGATGATTTAACATTTTTATCATATGACAGCTGTTCACGTCAGTAACTAAATACAGATGATTTCTACATGGATTGTAGCAAGTATTGTGGTATGATTTCTAGTTAAGCTGCTTAGCATTGCTTTCATCTCCCAAATACGATATACTACTGTTCTGGAGGGAGGGTTTCTTTTACAGACAATTTGATGGGCATTATGATATATTCAACCAAATGTTGTTTAGATTTGGTGGTAGTGGTGGTGGTGGTGATGGTGGTGGTGGTAACAAATATAAACTGGTGACTATGTTTATCTAATGAAAATAAAACGATTTGGATTTTCTCTGAAATACTAATGCAATGTTCAATAGGAGTGCTTAAAGACCAAAGCTAGGTCAAAAAAAGAAGTCAGGGAGAGCATACATGTCCCTGAAATTAGTAGCGAGGTTACATAACACTGATGTCACAGGTAGCTTGATCGGTCGAGTGTTTTCGTAAGCAATAAAATGTGTTTTACACATACATAGTTTTCAATAACTTATCTCGTAGATCAGTCATATAGGTATGGTAAGGGAAGCTACCATGAGTTATATTATAGAAAATATATAGATTGTGCGAAGATACATGATTGATTCTGTGATTTAGCATTTCCATTATACTAAAGGTCTGAAAACTTTAATCATAGGGCAATCGAAGAAAATTAAAATCAGTCAAAATAAATGATAATATCCCGATAGACCCCAAAATACATTTTATGACCTAGAATCTTAAATCGTTGTCATCTTTCTAC